GGGGGGGCAGGCCGGGCGCCGCGCCGCCGTGCTGGCCGGGGCGGCCGCCGGTCGTGCGGGACCTGCTGGGAACGACCGCCGCGTCCTGGGCGAGATGGGGGGCCGGGGGGGCGGGGAACAGGAGAAACTAAAAAATTCCTGAAAACGCTCCTAACAAAAATTCTAAGAGCGGTCATAAATGGCAGTAATGAAATTCTCATGATAATAAAACAGCACGGTACTAAAAAGAATACCTTCTACGAAAAATCTAACAGCAGTAATGATAAAAATTCTAGTAATCGTAACAAATTCTAATAATGAAGTCTAACGACCACAGTAATACTAGAAATTCTAATAATAATAATTTCTAAAAATAAAAGGGTCTGAAACCAACAGTGATACTAATACTACAACAGTAGTTCTAATATTAATAACAACAAATTCTAATAATAATAAATGCTATCAATAATGATATGTCCAACAACAATAATTTTAGTAATAAATTACAATAAATTCTAACAATAATAATAAGTGGGACATGGCACTGCCCGCTCCTGCCTGGTGGCACAGGTGTTTGCCCTGACCCAGCGCTGCCCCTGCCCGTCCTGGGATGGATCCGCTGCGAGCCACCGGCCTCCTCAGCAGGCACCAGCCGCTGCCCGCCGGGGTGGCCGGTGGCTCGCAGCAGAGCCATCCCAGGGGTGTTCTTATCTGCTGGCATGCCCGATGCCACGGAGGAGACACAACCTGTGTCGAGTTTGAACCTTTTAAACCCTGATGCCAGGGAGGGGAGAAGGAATTGCTGGGTCTCCTTGCCAGCCCCCATGGCAGCTGAGGTTTGCGGAGGTGATGAAATCATGGCCTGTTCTGATGCAGCGAAACCAAACGGTGCTATAGGGAAAAGAGGGGCTCTGCGTGTCCTGCCTAAAAAAAACCCCAAAAACCCAAACCCTAAAACAACACCTTGATGTCTTTTTGAGCGTATGCAGCCCAGCCGGCTTGGGTTGCATCTCCAAGACCATGTCTGGAGGAGTCGTGTTGTACAAGAGCCTCATTGTTGAGGTGGTATCAAACAAGGCCGTGAGTGTAGAGAAGTACCCTGCAGTGCTTGAAATAGCTCCTGTTTTTTGTCGTCATTGTGGGTGAAGAGGGTGCAGGATTAAGTTGGGTGGAAGTCATGCTGTGTGGTGCAAAAAAAGTCTTGCAAGAATGGTTTTATATTTGCTTAAAACTTTGCTGAGAGATGCATCATACTGTCTGCATAGCAGAAGGTCACTGCCTACCCTAACAGCAAAAAAGCCCCAACCTTGAGTGAAAATTTCTTAATTTGTGAAAAAGCATAAAGCTAATCTTTTACAGTCTTTTATTACATCACTGCCTTAAAAAAAGGCAAATTACTAGAGTCATGGAAGTGGGTGTTCAGGTGCCACTTTTCTTACTTGAAGAGCTGCGCGGCTTTGGTACGTTAACAAAATGTGGAAAGCTTTCGTTCAGGATGTCTCACTTTTGTTCCATTCACATACTAGGTCCATAAAGGTAGTGCATAGCTGTAACTTGAGTTTAGGGTCTTTTCCTAGTTTGAAAACTGTGCTGACAGTTTGTGGTCTGGAATTGTTTTTCCCCTTTGGCTTTTCAGGCTTAACTCCGGGTAAGGGCCGTCTAATGACGGTGTGCTAATGAGGAACTTCTAAGCTGCATTGTTAAGATATGTCTTTTAAACCTACATCCAAAACCTCCACCCCAAACAAGTCGTGTGTGTGAGGGGTAATGAGAAAAATACTCTTCATTAGCTGTCACATTCCCTGCTCAGAATGTGGGGGGGAAACCCTGTGATGTCACCTGACGCGTCAGTGTGTCCTTTGGGTGAAGAACTGGGGGTTTTTTGTTGTTCATTTGTCAGTTTTCAGCCAGCTATGCTCAGTGTAATGTTTGTCTTTTCCAACAACTTAAGTGCTAAACAACAAATTTCAAAAATACCCAATGGGTCATTCACTGACGGTGGCCACTGTTGACAGCCATGTGTACAGCCTTGTACCTTGTTGTATAACTTGGCAGCTCATTCGTTCCAAGTTATTTAATAAATGCTAATATGATTTCTTGAATGACATTTTAAGTAAATTCAGTTTAATAATTACCTCCTTGTCACATTTGCTTTAACTAATGGAGTTTGACCATTGTTCTTTAGAAAGTAATAAAAGGGTGATCTCTAGGAGTACCAGGCTGATTAAAAATAAGAAAATAACCCACCCAGCTTTTAATGAAGGAAATGTTGCAGTAGACTGGAAAAACTTGGTAGAGAATTGCTATCTCCTTTTTCTTCTGCCCAGAGAGACCAGGACTGTGGGTTTGATTGCAGCTGAGCTGATGTTGTTGTCACTGGGACTCCTTTTGATAAACCACCTACGGGCTTCAAAATGAAGCCATCGAGTGGCCTTTTTCTAGGTGAATTTGCAATGGTTTCTGTTCCAAATCTGTGGGTTCAGGTGTTCAGTCTCCTGATGCTGTTGTGTTGTCCTTCTCTGAAGCTGGTCTTGAATTAAACAAGTTTCCAAACTTTGAAGGGAACTGAGCATGCTGATGATAAGACTCCATCAGTTAAAGAAAGGAGGAAAAAAAAAAAAAAGCTCCTGCCTATCATTATTTTGAGTAGTTTTGTGGCCTGAATTACCTGGATTTGAGTCTTTAATTGATCACAATTTGTGCTTCTGACCCTTGGAAAATGGCATCTTCTATATGTGAATGATCAGGTCTGTGGAGTTTTTCAGTAAACTTAACAGCTACTCAGCAGACTGGCACATGCCCATGTGGCTTACATTGCTGTGTAGCAAAAATACAAGAAAGTATAATGATTTCTTAATACATTTCTGGCAGTGCAAGCCAAGATAAGTAATCCTTCCCTTTTCTTCTTGTGGATTCTGAAAAGTACGTAGAAGAGGTGCTCTGATGCTCTCAGTACAAGGCACAAAGTGTCCTGGATCTAATCTCTCTGTTTTGAAGTGAGACACTGCTTCCCTCTGCAGTTCAGGACCAGTATTGCTGTCGCCAGCACTTTGAACGGGACGGGAGGTACTGTTGGGGAGAATTGCAGCTCTCTTGCTAGATTGGCAAAGTATTTTTGTAAGTGAAATTTTACAGGGAAGGCAGTAGTCTTCCTATGTGGGTTAAGTGTCCAGTTGGGTCTGAAGATGTGACTGTATTAAGCTTTTGTGCCCATATTTATTGTAATCTCAGTCAGCCAGGTTTGCAGCTGTGGTTTATTTTTTTCTTTCTCCACCCCCCCGCCTTGTTTTCTGTAAGCCCTTTGTAAATCACTCTTTCTTTTTCTTGCCACTTTACTCTTTTTAGCTGTCGCTTCCTTTGATAAGTGTGTGTGCGAAAGAATAAGTAATGTTTGGATTGTAACATGAACAATTACTCTCTTATATTGCTCTTGCTTTCCAAAGCCTGGTCATTTCAGTTTTGAGTGCGTTTAAATTTCCTCAGGCTTGGCAAGGAAGAGGTAGTGTAAGTGACTGGGTTTCCATGCATGTGTGTGTGCATCTTAAAAACGAAAAGTATTAAATATATGAAGTCTGTAGAAGAAATAAAGAGAGTTGAGTTCTCATTGGTAGTGCACAGAGGAACCAATTTTATACATTAAAAAAATAGCTAGCAGATAGTTTAATTTGGAGTTTAGGATTTACTTTAACCACCAATAAATACATTTCTTTTCACAGTGCTGCTTCTTTTTCCATAAAAGACTTTTAAAAAAAAAAGTAGGAAAAATTGTGAATCTGTACATTTTGGGGGCTACAAATATTTCCAGTGCTATAAATCTTTCTAATGTGAACTCAGTTTTGTTTATTTGCCAAAGGTAAAATGTAAGGGGTTTAAGTAATAAATAAGCAAGGTGGTTAGCAAATTTAACAGAATTGTTTAGCTATTTTCAGGTTTTATATATCTGTCTCTATATATCTATCTTTCTTTCATTAAAACATTTATTGGAAGCTACTGTCAGGGACTTTTTGGTGTCTGTTTCTACTAAGGAAATGTCATTTGAGCAGGTAGGGTACTTGTCTTGATACGAAGGCACTAAGTCACATAATACTTTGGGAAGTAGCATCCTTGTTTTCTGGTTTTGTGTTTTTGGAGGTTTTTTGTTTGGGTTGTTTGGGTTTTTTTTTTAGGCTTTGTATTCTAAGCAGAACCTCCAAACTTATTCCAGGATTAAGAGATCCTTGTTTCTCCTTATCTGGTTTAGATGTTGGCTGACAACACTGCAGCTTTTCCAGAATAAAATGTAAATGTTGAATTGGAGTTATGTTTATGCCATAAATCTCTGGCTTAGCAAGACAGCCATAAAGCTGCTGTGATTCATACAGGCATGTCCCAGACATGGGCAAGCCATGTTGTTCCTTGTTGGTGCAGGAGAACCTGGAGATGTTCAGACAGCATCTCTGCAGCGGTCTGAGGATGCATGTTCTGGACATGTTTTGAATGGAGTCTACTCCATTTAAAGACTCTTCTAAATAATTGGAGTCAGATAGGGAAGGTGTGTTTTAATTTAAAGCTGGGAGTTAGACCAACAGGGAGTTTGTAGGG